TGGAAGTTGTTGTTGGTCTCATGTTGATATGACAAATAATCATTAATAGCAAGTGTTGAAGAAGATGATGATGAGAATGATGTAGATGCTTTGTGATTTTTTTTTCATAACTTTATCAAGAAAACCAAATCTAGAATCGAAAGTGCTAGTAGTTGTTGGTGTTGCTAAATCAAAACCATAAATAGATGCATAATGATCATAAAGGTCTCCCAAAACATATTTGCAGTTGTTAATATATTCACTAACATCATAATCGATACTTAAACTTGTATAATAAAATTCTAAAAGATTTTCCAAACCTTCAGCTTTGACACCGGGGTCAAGAATAGCAACAATTCCATAAATAATTGGAAATTTCACTAAAATAAGTATGCCACTTACGTTTCATGCTATCAAGAACGGGACGATGGTCCATCACTCTTCAATCTTCATATGCTCTTCGATGGTGTGAACAACTTTAACACACTCAATTATGACTAAATGAATGTTAGGCTCATAAATATAAGAGAAAATATGAGTTGAATTATCAAAAGCATTTAAAACAAAATGAACAAAAGAAGCATTAGTCCAATGACTTTCGGTTATTAACTCAGTAGGATCAACACGAGTCTCATTGTAAAGTTGGGTCAAAATGTCACGATACTCTATAGCATCATTCAACAAATTGAAAGTAGAATTCCAATGGGTAGGGGTATCTATAGACCATTGACTTTTTCTTAAGACCTCTCTCTTTACACATAGCTATGTACTTTCTTCTAACTAACTGAGTAATCCTAATCCATTATATAGCTGTTCTAATTGGGTTTAGCAATGGTTGCAACTCAACGAGACCCTCTTGAACAGACAAATTCAAAATATGAGCACAACATCTAACATGCAAGAGACTACCACCCAACAACAAATGCAATTCGGAGTCATATTTCAAATAGTCAATACACTTTATGTTTGCAGTTGCGTTATCAAGAGACAAAGAAAAAACTTTATTATTCAAGTGGAATTCTTTTAAACAATCCAAAATACGAACTTTGATGTTAAAACCGATATGCCTTTCTTCCATAGCTTGAAAAAATAGTATACGTTTTTGAATAAACCAATCATCATCCACCCAATGAGCAGTAATGCAAAGAAAAGGTTCGCCAAAACTAAAAGTCCATGTATCACTTGTAAAACTAATACGACCATCAAAAGTACGAAATAATTCAATCAAACCACTCCTATACTTATAATAAGAAGTTTGTGTATAACGTCTTAGGGTATTTCGGAAGACACGAGCAAATGCAGGTTGTAATGCAACTTTATTAAAATGCTCAACGTTTGCATTTTCACTGTAACTAAAAGGGTATTCATTAGCAATAACTAAAATACTCATTTCATCAATCATTCTATCTTTATTATAAATGAAAGGTGTACCTTCGTCGGGTAAATGATTCATGTATCCACCCAATTGTGTTTGGACGGGCAACCCACCCCCCGAAAGGACGGGGGCCATTTTCGAACAAGTCGTGTTTATTTTTCAAATGCCGACTCAAGGTTCTGGTTCCATTTCCCGTTTTCCAACTATATGACTTGACATTTGCACCTAGCGCCTTGCAAACTAGGCATGTACACGTGAACCTCTTTGGTTGACCAGGTTGGCACCCCGAGGGTGTGACGTCAACTCGTTCAAAATGTTTCCACACCAAAGAAGTTTGTGCTCGACCTGTACTTTCACCGCCACCACCTTTCATAAATCAAATTATTGAAATTAATTTTTAAATGCTATTCATGAAAATAAGCTTTTAAATTTTAAATATTTTAATTATAATTATTTAAACGCATTTTTCATGGTAGTTATAAATCATAAAAAATTGGAAACTAAACTAACTTTACAATCATTAATAATAGTTTTTTTTAAATATTCATAACAATAAAAATTAAATTAGAAATTACCTTGAGATGAAGGTTGAGATGTTGGTTGCGATGGAGGTGGCATAGTTGAACTCGATGATTGGTGGGAGAAATGTTGTGGTGGAGACGTTTGAATATTTTGCCCATCTCCTAAACCATAATCTCAATATTCATTGACAAATTGGTTTAAATTTTCCATATTAATTTCATACGAAAAATTTGCACCACCACTCCTTTGGCCACCACTTTGACTCCTTCCCATTCCTCCTCTTGAGCCCCTTTTTTTTTTTTTTTTAATGATTACTAATTATAATATGGAGAAGAACTTTTTTTTTTTTTTAGAATCTTAAGAATACTAATAATAATATTAAGGAGATTTTTTTTTAACAAAAATAAAACTCTATATAACACTAAATAACATTTGAGAATTTGAGAACAATTAAGAATTTTTGAGTAAGAGAGAAAGAAAGCTTGAGTTGTGTGGAAATTTGAGTGAAATAGAATTGGTATGTATAGGAAAAATTGAGGGGATAATCATACAATACAAAAAAATAGCCAGTACGCTCAAAAAACTAGTTGTTACTAACAATTAAAAGTAGCTGTTAACTTTGTTCATCAAATTCATTAAAAAAAAAAAAAAAAAAAAAAAAAAACTAGTTGTTAGTTTTGAAAAAATATTTGGAATATGACTGTTAGGCTAGGCGAGTTGGGTAGGCTGGGCCGTGCGTGATGGATCGGGTTGGGTGGGTCGAAGTGGGTTGAACGAGTTGGGCCGAATCATGTGGGTCAAAATGGGCTAGGCTAGAATTTTTGGACCCACGACACACCCACCATTTCAGACGGGTTGTGCCAAGTCAGATCCGGGCTGGACCCATTTGACCCACCAGCGTGCAGTCAGGGTGGTCTGGGTCCATCCCGGTACGATGGCCACCTCTACCTGCTGCTCTATGAAGCCAGCATATGCCACCCCAAATAAACCCAATTGCAATATTAATTGCCAAATCTTCCAAAACTTTATTGCTCCCAATTGGGTCACAAGCCCACGCTACAAGACTCAGCAATTCTCTTACCTTTAAATGAGTATGTGAATGTATATAATCTTCTGTAAATGATCGATGTGGGAACTTCTTTATTAACTCTCACATCCCCCCCTCCCCTTTAAATTTAAAATTTGGCTTTAGTTTTTGTAAATTGTGTATCCAGTAGGATAGTAGATTGATCTATTAAGGTTTTCTAAAGTACGAGGTTTTGTTTAGAGGACTTTTACACCGACTCCTCAAATACCATGTCTTTTTGTTGGCTCATTGGTTGTAGAGTATTAATTATTTTGAATATTAGTTAAATTTTTGTGTTAAGCATGTATAACGACACGTGTTAAATGAAAAATTAACTTGAATCCAATAAGTCTTTTTTATAAATATAAGAGGATTGTGAAGGATTATCTATAAAAATGCATCTAGTGGGTTAAAAATACAATTTTGGTATCATTGAAATATTGAGAGAATGATTCACCAATGTCAACTGGATTTTCAATACATACAAAAGTAATTTCTTAAAAACTCAGCAGGATGATTATGTCCATATGACTATATTAAGTAATCAAACTTTTTATTGTTTTCCGATGTGGGACATTTAGAATATCTAATTTGATTTACTCTCTCCTTGTTCACTTGCTCTTCTTTAATCCGTTTGCATGTCCGAACTCGGTTTGAAATCCAATGTGAAAAGTGATCTTTAAGTATGTTTACCAATAATCATTTTAAAAGTAATGGGAATTTGATTCAATAGTTTACGATTAGGTATTGCTACTGGTACCATTTTAAAAGTAATGAGAACCTAACATTGTTACGTAGTTGTTTTGTAACTTGAATAAATAAAAATATTATTACCAGTAATTTATTCAAGATCGTGTAATAATGTTGTTATCTATACTAATATATTAAAAGGCGTTCTTAAAAACGTCTCTACGCCACGTAGACCCCCTCACTATGTCACGCCACTCACTCAACTCCTTATTATGGTACATCATCCACTCAATTTCTCAATATGCCACATCACCCGCACTACCAACAATATTCCATGTTGCCTCAACTATATTAAAAACAATTGACCTCTTTGAAACAACGTTTTTGTTTAACCATCTAAGCTAATAGTCAATTATGCTTTAATGTTGCACACTATTAAATATTATACTATAAAAGTATTGAAAATACATACTACATAAACACTATTAAATATTTAAATGCTCTTAAAAATTAGCAGTTGCACAAATACAAAAGTAGTATCATAGGGCAACGCCCGCACTACTCATTAGTTTAACATTAAATGATATCATAATTACTAGATTTTAAAGTCTAGCTTTTCAAATTTGTATTAGCATTCTGGGTCGTGCAATGCACATGTTGTATTTAGTTTATAAAGGAGAAGAAGGTTTGGAAATTGAATATACTTGTAGAATATATTAAGTTGGAAAAAATTGCACTACACAATATTAATACATGTAGTGGCATGAATGCATGATGGTTTGTGTTTTGTTAGACTAGGTATAGATATCTTAAAGAAAATCATTCAAATGAGTCTCATGAGGATGATCGCTAAACCTTAGGGATATGAGATGGGAGCGATGTTACTACAATATTACCTCAACCTAATGAGTATGAGTAGGGGTTCTAATTGAGCAGGGCAATTCGTGAGCAGCTCGGTCAACACTCGGCCAAAACTCGATTCAAGTTTGCTCGTGCTCGCTCGAATAAGCTCGAAACTCGATAAGTGTACAAGAAATTCAATATTTTCTATTCTTATATCTTTAAGAACAAAAATTTACCTTGACACTTAATAAATTTAAAATAATAAACTTAAGTAGGAAAAATTTATATAAAGAGAACAAAACATAATCAACAAATATTTGAAATTCAAGAGACCTAAACCTTTAAACGAGTAACTCATGAGGAAAATTAACAAGCACAAGTCAAGCAACCCTCTACTCGTGATCGACTCGCTCGATTAGCACCCCTAAGTACGAGGGTAATGGAAAAAGGGTAAGCGTGATACTCCGTACAAAAGTACAATAATATTAAAAATGTATTGTGTTAGTTTCGCAATGGATCAAAACAACTGTAATACTTAAAAAAAAACCGGACTAAAGACGAGTTTCATCTATATCCAAGTTTAGCTCCCGCATCACTCTAACTATCCAAATCCACCGAAACACATCAAAACTCCTTTGCTTTGATTCAGGATCTTTGTCAACAACTCAACATTTCAAACACATCAAAAGGATCCGCCATTGATAGAAGCATAACAAAAAGATGAACGATCAAATCATCTCACACAAGGCTTACGCCAGAATTGGGCTGCTGGGAAACCCAAGTGATGTGTACTACGGCAAAACCATCTCCATTAGTATCTCCAATTTCTGGGCTTCTGTTAGTTTGGAGCCTTCTGATCATCTTGTCGTCAAACCCCACCATTTTCATGATCTTGTTCAGTTTCAATCTCTTCATCATATGGTCTCTTTCTCTCTTTCTGGGTACAATTTATTTATCTCAATTTGTATGGTTTTAATTTACTGTTAGAATGATTTTTCTGGGGTTTATATTTAGACATTGATGAATTGATGTATGCTTATTCACAATCTGATTTTGAAATTAGAGATGTTGAAATTGACCCGACTCGAAATTGAACTGATTTGAACCCCCAACTCAACCCACATGGATAAACTGACCCAACATAATTTAATGACACGACCTGACTAGACTCGAGCTTTATTCGTTAATAGGATCACCTTAATGATTTGTGTTGAAATTGCGAGTTAATGGATTGTTAGTGCATTGTGCTGAAATTCTGTTGTTTAGAATCTGTGTTTACTTGATAATAAAAAGTGTGAGGGATAAATAGGATGTACCCTCAAATGCTGTAATTGAATTATTAGAAGCCAGTGATGAAGGTACATTGTGTAGTTTTTCTACATTTGATCAATATACGAAGTAGTTCTTATCTATAGTTTTTCTACATTTGATCAATATATGAAGTAGTTCTTATCTATGGATGTATAGTATTGGTAGTGGTGACTGGTGACTGGTGGTATATTAGATGCTTTTAGGGGGCTTAGCTCTGGTCCGAGGAGATGTTGCAGACCAGATTCTCTTTTCATAGCATTGATGATCTTCTCAGTGTCACTAATCTTTGCAATTACCTTAACCGTTACCTAGCGCCCATGTCTTTGGAGTTACTTGTGTTTTTCTACACTAGTAGCTACTTGATTGTGAGCAAGTGCTGGATTGCTTGAAGTTCAAAGTCAATGGTTCTGTCATAAGGTAGTCTAGTTCTTTCTCGCCAAAGTCTATTTGGAGCTGAATTGCTGCTAGACAATTGTGCTTGTTTCTCAATGAAAGCTGTACTACATTTTCCATGTAAAATATTAGCGAACAATACCTTAGAATACCATTTGTATCTCCAAATAGGCCTAGTAAATCAAAATCAGTGCAGACTTAGTTTATAGAATGCTTTCATTCTGTTAATTCAATGCATTGTGTTGCTTGAACTAGGTTATCTCTAGAGACTTCCCTTATTAATATTAATAGCAAAGATTCCATGGAGACGATGGGCTCTTAGGAACATTTTTAGGTTTTGTAGTCTAACTTTGAGGCTGGATATCTTTTATTCTCTTAATCCATTTATAGTCCTAAATATTAAAGTTGCTCCTACCTGTAGCATTCATTAGGACCATAGTCAATTAGTCATGTATTTGATCATTAGGGAATGTTTCCAACCTGGAGCAACAGATAAATCGGAGTCATTCCAGATCCTTGCTGTAACTTTTAGAGGTCTGATGGCTATTTATGTAGGAATGACCTTGGCACCTGGAAGGCAGAAGTTCTGCTGGTCCAATACTTGATCTGTTGACGATTATGTTTTAGATTACTTCTTTTCAATTGGCTATTGTGGTACTTTACAAGTTATAGGTAGAGGGGTTTTGTTCCTCTTTCATCAAACTGCAGGAAATGATTGTAATGAATTTAGCTTCTAAGCATTGAACAGATAGACACCTTTTATTTGTTTCTTCCTCCTAGTTTATGTTACTGAGCTAGTTAAACTTTCTTTGGTCTCATTCTATTTCACTATTTGTGTTTCTTTTTCTCTGCATATGTGATTGCATTTAGTGGGTCTTCTCTATGATCCCCTTTATTCACAGAGTTCAAAGTTGTTATAGCTGCTTATCTATTTCATTATGATAATATTGACAATAGACTATATTTATTTGAGATAGTCCTGAGTTGGAATTATGGATTGGTTTTGTTGCATCTTTGATGCTCATATTGGAGCTGTTTTAAAGGGCCTTCCAATCTGCAAATAGTCCAGTAGAGGCACTTGATGTCTTGTTAATAGTTTCCAAATGCCCCTTATTTTAGAGAGTCAATTACCATGTTTACAATCAATCAGATCAATCAATCAATCAAAGCCTTAATCCCATAATTGGGTCGGCTACATGAACCAAAAGTGATTATTTCGTATAATCATCTACAAAAATCTTCCTCCTCCATCTCTTACAATCACATGACATAAGCCAAAATTATCATGTTTACAACTATTATAAAATTGGTTTCATACAATGACTGATGAACTGTTTGCTCAAAGTTAGTGCAAGTACATAAAGAGGGGAGAAATCTATCTTTTTCTGAAATTTATGCTATGATTACCATCTTATAGTTATGCTTTGTCTTAGCTTATAAAAGATTTATAAATCTGTCTACAGGTGGATCGTTTAGAGAATGAGGGTTTCTATGGAGGGGTGCGTTTGCTTATGGCGATCTGCAAAATTTTCTACAAATACTGCAAGAAACATTACATTGATCTTCATGAGAGGAACTTTACCCTATCGTATGATACAAATATTCCTCGGCAGGTGAATTTTTCTCTTTTAAATTTGTTGGTTATGTGAAATTACGTATGTTGTGTGTGTTTCTTGGTTGGTGCATGAAGTTTATGTCAATCTACAGCAGTATGCAACTAATTTATTTTTTGACTTTTAGACAGGACTTTCAGGTTCTAGTGCCATTGTATGTGCTGCCCTGAATTGTATGCTTGACTTTTACCAAGTCAGGCACCTGGTTAAAGTAGAGGAGAGACCTAATCTTATCTTGGACGCTGAAAAGGAGCTTGGCATTGTGGCTGGTCTCCAAGACCGCGTGGCACAAGTTTATGGAGGACTTGTTTTTATGGTAAAGATTGACACATTTGGAAGAACTTTCATTTTAACTAATTTTATATCTTTCTTTTCCTGAGGTGGACTCCTTTTTCGTAGGACTTCAGCAAAAATCACATGGATAAACTGGGACATGGTATTTATACACCAATGGATATCAGTCTGCTTCCTCCTCTCTACCTCATCTATGCTGAAAATCCAAGTGACTCAGGAAAGGTCAGCAGAATGTATTCATCTATGTCTAATGTCCATTGTCATCTCCAGTTCTTTTCTTGTATAACATCCTCTCGCATCCTCTTTCCTAATGCTGTTACTGCAAACTGTGATAACGACACCAGGACCTCTGAACCAGTAATAAATATCTATAAATCATACTTTTGACAAATAGAAACTAATTGGTTATTCATAATCCCTATGTCTCTATTTACTTGCTACAAATGCTTTTTACACTGTTTCAAAGAATCATGAATAAGTATAGAGAAATAAGAGGTGAGAAGGTGTTGTTGTGTGGGGCCTTTATAGAAAAAGTAGAGAGAAAAAAGCCTGCCTGAAAAGGTTGTAGCAAGAATCCAAAAGGGGTTCATGTAGCAAGTAATTTTTGGAGTAAATATCTTTCTTCTTCTTCCTAATCTTAAGGATAATTTGGGATGATTGGTCATTCTTCAGTAAGAAAAATTCAAATGATATCCTTGTGCTTTAAGATTTTCCATTTAGTACTCAAGAATATATTGTCCTCCTCATGTTATCCTCAACTTTTACTGTATTGTCATTGACAAAACCATTCGACAAAATGTTATAAACCTATTTTTGCTTGTAGATTTCCATTACCACCCAGTACCCCGTTTAAAGTGGCAATGAAATTTCTGATGAAAAAGAGACATCTGGGGGTGTGCATCATCATGGACATGTGCATGGAACATTTCCTTCACAAATACCTATAATTCATTATCATTACTAATTTACTACCATTTATAACCACCACCCACTAAGCAGGCTGTTGAAATGATATAAGATTCTAGCAGTCTTGTTTTACTTGTGATCTAGTTCATTGTATAGCTTGGTGATCTTGCTAATACATGTGTGCAAATGTGCAATGCGAAGTAAGTTGTAGACCTGACATCCTCTGAAGAGACCTCCCAACCATTTTTCTTAGATTGCCTAGAAGTAAATTTCAGCCTTCTAAATAAAATGATACTTCAGAAATTTCTTTGATTTTATGTATTGAATAGGTGCATAGTACTGTTAGAAAAAGATGGCTAGAAGGTGATGAATTTATAAGATCAACGATGAATGAAGTTGCAAGTTTGGCTGTGGAGGGAAGACAAGCTTTACTGGACAAAGACTATGAAAAATTGGCATCTCTGATGAATCACAATTTTGACCTCCGCAGGTAAAGTGTTTGCATTACGTCTGTTATATTTGCCACATGCAATTGCATAATTATTGCAGAAAAGATACTTGTCCATTAAGTTGTTTGTACATAACCAAATCAAAAGCAACACACACACACACACACACACACACACACACAGTATTTTAATGTTGTTTTTGACTTCTGAGCTACACTTAGAGAAGAATTGTTACTCACCTAGTCGGACATGAGTACGTGTCCAACTGTCCTTTCCGGCTATTTTGTGAAAATTTTGCTTGTTTTTGGCACAAGTTGAAGTATCTTTGTATCCATACTCAAGTCAGAATATCAAGGATCCTATATGGTACTTGAGGTAAAATGAAGAGTGTTAGCAATATACTTCCTCGGTTCTTTTTTACTTGACTTGTTCCTTTTATCATGCTTGTCATTTTGTCAATGCAAAACTTTAACGTTCAATAACTTTAATTATACATAAGTAAAAATTATTAAAGTTATATGTTATGATAGTACTTATTGAGATGAATTCAAAAAGATCTCACATGAATATGTTTTTTCTTACATATTATTCACAAAAGACGGTCAAAAGATGGGTGGTGAATAGTGTAAAAGTCAAAGCGGGTCAAGTAAAAAAAAAACGGAGGAACTAGTTTTTATCACTGTCTGACTGTCCTAAGGGATCATGTTAAATTACCATGGAAATGTTATGCTATTGTATGTAACATCATTTGCATGCATTGCTATCTTTGCAGAAGTATGTTCGGAGATGATGCTCTTGGGGCTATCAATATAAAGATGGTGAAGATAGCACGGGAGGTAGGTGCTGCGTCAAAATTCACTGGAAGTGGAGGGGCTGTGGTTGCATTTTGCCACTGGGGACCCCAGCAAGTTGAGCTTCTGCAGGAGGCTTGTCAGAAGGCTGGTTTTATCATGCAGCCTGTTCAAGTTGCCTCGCCAAATTTGAATGACCTAGATTTTGGAAGCTCGCATTCTACATGATACAGCTTACTATTAAAACTGTTTGCCCAAGAACACATTCCTTCATCATATTCTTCCTTTAGTTTTTACAGGCATACATCTACATAATTTTCTTGCAATATGCAACCACAGGCATAACATGTACTTAGTGAAGGTTCTTGTTTTTCAAGTCAGTGCTATAGCTTTTATTTGTTTTATATTTCAATAAATGCTGTAATTTGGCTTAAACTCGATTCCTTTTTAATTTAAGCACTTGAGTGATCCATCGAGTTAGAAGTTATAACTATATACTAGTAATATATGTCACGAACTGTCCAACTGGATGGGTTGATCATAGGAGTGAGCATAACAAGGAACGTTGTAAAAATTCACTTGCAGGTTCGTTTCATGTAATCACCCACAATTTTACAAAGTTTGTAAGTAAAATTTTATTATATTTATAAATATTTCATTAAATTTTACATGAATCTAGACTATTATACAAAATTTATAAGGGGTCGCTTGGTTGGATCATTTGGAATGGAGTTAGAATTCATTCCACCTAGTTTTTTGTTTGGTTGAGGTTTTTAGTAATAGAATCTCATACCCAAGGTGTTCTAATTCTCTCCCATACAAGGTGTGCTAGTAATTATTAAATTACTCAACTCTTAAACCAAGACCCTTTTACGGGTTAATTAGCCTATTAATTGTCTTACCTAAAATATTATGTCAAGTGGCGAATAATCCATCAAACTATTTCAAGTGGTTCAAATAAGTTAAATTAATATTTAATCAAACATAAATACTTTTATTATTTACTTAAATAAAATATTTAGATTTATTTTTATTGAGGCCTTAAAATTTTACGCTCAAATCATAACAATACAAAATTAATTTATAACTCACAATTATCAAACTCAAAATTATCAACTACAAATCCAAAATTTCATTCCAAAATAATACATATTTCAAAATTATATTATTTTGTACATATATTGTACATGTATTTTTTTTTTTGATGCAATATTGTACATGTTTTGTAATATGTTGATTGCATCTATCATATTGGCCCATATAAGCTTGTGTAAATTAAATTTGTAGATCGAATTATTTTTTACGCAAGCCAGATTATAATATAATAATACTGTAAAAATAAGTTTAAAAGATGAATAATTAAATTAATTAACCTGAAAAAATAAAGCTAACTTGTACAAATATATTATAATATATTGGCCCATATAATAATAATAATAATAATAATAATAATAATAATAATAATAATAATAATAATAATAATAATAATAATAATAATAATAATAATAATAATAATAATGTAATATTTAAAAAATTAAAAAAGGTATTGAAAAAATACCTTTAATATCCTAAAAAGTAGGGTATGAAGAACTTCTAACATCTTTGAAACCTCCTTCCCAGAATCAAACGCTCTTATAAAATATTCCTCCAAATTCTTCGATGCTTCCGACAATTCCCTCCCATTCCCCTGTTTTCTCAGTCAGCTAATGTTAGTGCAATTTCTTTTAAAAATTAATGAAGATACTATTTTTTTTTTTTTTTGAATAATAATAAAGCTACTATTGGACAAATAAATTAGGTCTTTTTACAAATTTATTTTACGAATACTATTTTTTATTTTATTTTTTTGACAGGTATATTAAAATGCAATAATTAAAAAGAATTAATTCGAAAAAAAACATGCAGTCTCATGAAAAACGTCTTGATCAAGAATATGTGATTCACGTTATCAAACTAGCTAGCAATAATTAAGTGTCTGTATCTGTATATTAAGCGGCTAAATCTCTTCTCAAATGGACTGATGAACAAACAAGCGGCTCATGGCCTTATTAAATAATTATGCAAAACCATATATGGAGTACGAAGTAACAAGTAACATTAACATATACTTTGTATTATCACAAGTTCTTATGAATCTATTTAAAAAGGTGAATTCAAACCTTCTGTTGAACATTCCAAGAAAACTAGTGCATCTTTCTAACATATTTCACTAGGCAAGAATCAATCATCTATTGTTATGCTATATACAGAATCCGAAACATTGCTATTTTCATCTCCATTTGACGTAGAGCCATATGGATTAACCACACGTATTGGCATAGCTGGATTCATGGGGTCAATTCGTGAAATTGTAGCACTCGAACTAGCAACATTTCTTTCTGCTGAATTCTTTGTGTTAGAGTTTGGAAGGAGTCGTCCTTGCTCTTCCAGGGCTTCACGAGCTGCTTTTTCCTTAGCTCTTTTGGCTCTTTCGAGCACATCGTCCTACAATGGAAACTAAAAGTGTCACAGGATTGAGCTCTTTTATGTGTACCGAAAAGATTTGGTTAAATTGATTCTTTGCACCACCCCACCCCCCCCCAAAAAAAAAAAAAAAAAAAAAACCAATGCCCTAGAGGTTTCATTTTTTTTTTTCTTTCACAGGAGGGGATTCAAAGGGGTTCTGTAGGCAATCTTTCTAACATGAGCATAACTTGAATTCAATACAAAGCTCCACAGATGCGAGCATAACTTGCATACACAGACATGGAAGAAACTGGCTGTTCAGTCCATAACTTTTATGTAGTCCTCACCTGAAATTCCTGAACTTGCTTTTGTTGCTCAGCTTGCAACCTGCCGACGGTGCTCAGAATCTCACCAACGGTAGATTCAATTCTTTCAGTTAGTGCTTCACCAAGAGCTTTTCCCAGGAAAAATGCATCAAGGACAGTTTTGCTGTCACTTTCACCTGCACAATTTATTACCTCAGGGATCAAATAGATTGATAAGGCAGGCAACAGTAAAATACGACTAACAAATATGAAGTATAAGCATGATGCCACGTCTAAAATACATTTACTAGTAACATCTTTCATATCTGATTTAAACTGCTAAACTCACAATACCTTAGAGTGATTCCGTGGCCTTGAGATGAATACAACTCACTTGCATGTTAATCGGAACAAGTCAATAGAGAATCTAGGAGTAACCCAAAATCCAAGCGAATTAAACCCACCCTCACAAAGCTACAAAGCATGGAACTTGAATACAATAACATGTTTAGTACTTCGTAATTTACAATAGTGAAACAGGTAAACTGGACAGCTAACAGCACATGTGTAAGTTTAAGCGGCTTCCCCTAGCATAGTACGAAGTATATCGTAGCCTAGGATGATACAATTTGAAAAAAAAAAAATGTTTCAATTGCAAATCAAATTTTTGCAAATTGGTCCTGTATCATTTCTGTTCAAGACCCTTAACTCCATCAACTGACAGCTTACAGCAAATCAAGCAACAACAATATACTCCATAAAATATATCTATGAACAACGAATTATCTAATTATCATCACCTAACAGCTTTTCCACACCTCCCCAGAACAAGTTTCCACAAGCACAAAGGAAGCAATCCCGTAAACTCCACTTATTCATATAGGTCTTCATCCATCCTTGAAATTTAGCGAAAAAGTACCTATTTTACTCATGCCCTCTTCTACAATGACTTAACTATACGTATATATTTATTGTTGCCTTACCATGGCTGTACAATTATGGGAACCTAGCTTCGTATGTACCATTAGAGTTCATAAATGAGAGCTAGTACAAGCTTCACAAATCATACAAGCAACCATTGCCAGCAACATACAAAGTCAATTAAAAAAACATCTTTCTATGCAAGAGTGAAACTCTTTACTCCTCAAAAACTCATAAACCCCGAGCTTCGACCTTGATATATTCTCCCAAAAATGTCTTGTGTAATTGACATGCTAACTAAATCAGATCCCGACGGATGATTGGAGCATTGAACCTTTCAATAAATTTCATAGTTCTTTCTTACATAGAATGCCAACACCAGGTCCAATTTAGTGCGTAGTTGCGTACATTAAAGATGCAAACAACTTACACTACTGCATTACTCAAAAAAGGTAGTCAAATCAAAGTACTTGTATTTTTTTAGCTACTTTAAAAAGTCCTGTTACTCGTAGATTTCAGCAATTCATACTTAACTAGTGTTTAGCCCCCCGGATCATACGTTATTATATATTATTGTATTATAGTTTTCATGTATTATACTTACATAGATAAATTTGACAATCCTTTTGTCCTTAGGAGGTATGAGGTAATAGTTACATTGAATACTTTTTTGAGGGAAAGTTACATTGAATACTTATTGAGCTTATCCTTTAAGTATCTTAATTTCTTTTTTTAAATTAAACCTTGTGCTTTTCACTTATGTAGTTTTTTTTTGGTACAAATTGATAATGTGGTCGGTGATTGGCTTAGACGGTTAAAGGTTAATATATAGTATAGATTTTTTTTTTTTTCTTTAAAGGCAGCAATTCATACTTAATTCAAACAACAATAAAGTTGCAAATAAATTCACCGAAACTAGCCATGAAAACTCTAATCCAATTCCTAAATTTCAACAGGGGGGAAACAAAATATTAAAATACAATTTTCAATATTCAACCCCAATCCATCAATTCCAGCAGGAAAAAAAATATATATAAAGCACAATAAATTTCATTGAATAATTCAACCCCAATTCATCAATTTCAGCAGGAATTAAAGGGGGAAATCAAAGCACAATTAATTTCAATGAATAATTCAACCCCAATTCATCAATTTCAGCAGAAATAAAATAAAAACAAATCAAAGCACGAATCAAGTTGATGAATAGCTCGACCCAACAATTTCAGCAGAAAAAAAAAAAAAAAAAAAAAGCACAATTAGATATTTAGATTCAAAAAATAACTCAAACCCAACTTGTCAAATTCAGCAGAGAAATCAAAGCACAATTCTTTATAAAGGATAACTAAAACCCAATTCGTTAATTTTTAGTACAAAATTAACAAATTAAAGCACAACCCATCTGAGTAAAAACATCATGAACACAAAATAAAGTACAAAAAAGAGTGAAAAACTAACCAGAACCAGGGGAATTGCTGCAGAAAATGGGTTTAGGAGATTGAGAGCGAGAGGAGAGAGAAAGGTGAGGACAATTAGGAAGATGAATGTGTCGGTAATTATGAATCAAAAGAGAAGAAAAATGGGAATTTGAGCATAACTTACGATTTTGAACAAGGGAATAGAATGATGAACAACGAGATTGCGAGGAAACTGAAGATTTAACCCCGCAGTTCATCATTTTTAGAGTCCCACTCTCAAATTGGAGGGAGTTTCTGGGTCTTTAGCTCAATTTCTACAAAAAAAAATTATGGTTCATTGGTTGCATATCAACAAAATCTTGTAGTACGTGTATTCAAATTAATCACTCGGTCTTGGATTAATTGCAAAACTTTAAAATGTCTAACAGGTACAAGTGTCAATGCAGTAATATTGTAAGGATATTGCTAACAAGTACCTCGGGGTGTAATTAATGCATGAAAAAATCACACGTTGATCGGTGTAATTAATGTTTATTTTATTGTAATATTTCCACTTTTATTTATCTTATCTAACGCCCTAGGAGAACTCGTTAGCTTTTGTCATATTGCAATTATAGGTTAATAGTCTTAATATGGACTAAGATTTATAAAAGGTTAATAAAATGTACAGAGTACGGAGTATAATATTTTGAATGATGAAAGACTTCTTCGTTTTTTACCATAGAGTACTTGCAACACTACTCTAAATGGAAATGTCACTATATTAGTATACTTGTAACTAGACCTGATCAAAGTGCGGGCCGGGTTGGGTTTGGGCCTGATCGTTGCCAAAAAAGCAGCCCACTTCTTGGCTCAGGCCAAGCTTCAGGCCAGAAAAATCGCATGCCCAAACCCGCCCAAAATGGTCAAGGCATGCAAGTTTTCTCAGGTCGGGCCAAAAAAATCAACTAAAAATGCATAAAAGCGCATGCCCAAGCCCGTTCAAAAAATAAAATATTTCGGGCTAGGTCGGGCCCAGTCCGATTTTGAGCCGAAAAAATCTGTCCAAAACGGGCCCAATTTCAGGGCGGATTGACTTTGATATGTTCCACTTGTAACACACTTATTTTAATTTAATCTCATGACCCAGTTAATTATATTCTAACAAACCCTCAACCTTATTTTAAGTATGTTATATTATGTAAGACCCACTTTTTTTAATACGGTGAAAAAGTGTGTGTTTCAATGATTAAAAGCAAAGGAAGTATACATTAAGCCTAATCTAAAAACATTTTACATGATAAATTTCATAACATTTGTTTTAGATATAGTGATTTAAAAATGTTGTAAAATTAGGATTGTGTTCCATTGATTTAATTTTACATTTCTGAACTAATATGGAGTATTACCTTTTCGGATCATATTAAAATTTACTTTAAGTGTAACTTGATATGTAATTCTAAAGTTGTAAGCCCTTATCAATACTTATTAGAACTCAATTTTCTATAATTAATCTGAACTTATTATTTTTTTTCCTAAAATGAGTAAAAATAAGGATGTGATAGGGGAATTAATTAATATTTCGTATGAAACAGTAACGTATCGTTGAAAGATTACGTCACTTTTACTTTTTCATGTTTGTCAATACAGAGTATAAAACTTTGAATATTAACATTTTCTAATTATATACTACGGAGTACAAAGTATTGGTAAAAAAAAAATATTATATAAAGTTAATATCCCAAAAATCTATATTAAGATTTAAGACATCACATTTAACATTTTATATTTTGGTTCAATTGCAATAGTTTCAAAATTCAAAATACTAAAAACTTATAGAAACACAACTAGTAATTCGTTTTTTACAATTTCAAAACTTTTCATGCCTTTTGTGGTGAAATATTTTTAAAAGTTAATTGCTTTTTTTAAAATATGTAACAACATTTTACATGACAAAATATATATATATATATATATATATATATATATATATATATATATATTTTAAACAACATATATATGATTTTAATACTTACATTAGTAAGTATATCAATAGTGTAAAAATCAAATTCTCTCATGTTATTGCACTTTACTAGTCTTTAGATAAGATGTTATTATGCTCCGTTGAACCTTATTTATTCTTATCTTATCTTATCTTAGTTATCTTATGAGAATTTTTTTAAATCCTTATCTGAACTTATATGACTTGATTGGTTGGGTTTGGGCAAATGCCCCCAGTTTTGTTTTTGTATAACCCGCAAATTCTTCTATGGACTCTGATCCATCTAGAAATAGGTGCACCACGACTATACTTTTGTACATTTAGTAAAAAGATATGAACAATTGCAAATTTTGAACATTTAGTAAAAAAATCCGAACATCGCAAATTCTGAACGTTTAGTAAAAATATCTGAACGATCGCAATGTACCACGCCTATACTTTTGAACATTTAGTAAAAAGATCTGAACAATTGCAAATTTTGAACATTTAGTAAAAAAATTCAAACATCGCAAATTTAGAACATTTAGTAGAAATATCTGAACAATCGCAATGTACCACGCCTATACTTTTGAACATTTAGTAAAAAAAAATCTGAACATATTCATAATAATATGAATAATAGCAGTTACAAAATATGAACATAAGAGTACTAAATATGAATATAAGAGTACTAAATACGGATATAAGAGTACTAATTTTCTTACTTACGCCTTGTCTTCATCTACTATACAATACTTGTTTTTTGTTTTGATTTTCTACAAACAAAAAAAAAAAGGAAAAAAAATGATTAAATTTTTTTAATTTAACCACACAAATTACAGAAATTAACCCAAACAAGTAAATTCTAACAAATCTAAACAATGTTCATATAATTCCACCAATTTTGTGAGACATTTAGTTCATACAGGATATTTAATTCTCGAATTTTTCCACATTTTAGTAAAAATAAACAAATTACTACTCTTAACTCAAATTACTACTCTTAAATTTAATTGTATTTCAATTTCGTAAAAAAATTAAGAATTTTGCATAAATTTATGTACATTATACGAAATTTAAACGAATTTATGTATTGTTTACACAAATTACCTGTTTTCGGAGAATCTTGTTGAGCATGAACTTCCATGGTTGATTTTAGTGTATTTAGTAAGAGAAAAAAAATAGAGAGAGAAATGATGAAAGAGACTATGCGTGCGTAAATGGAGAAATAAGGTGATAAGTTGCAATTGAGGTGAAATGTTGCAGTTTTTGAGTAAATCATATACGTGGGTTAGTAACTGATGTAAATCATGTGGGCTGTTGTTAAAATTTCGAGCGTATTAGGCCTGGTCCAGCTATTCTAGCTAAATCAGGGTCCATAATAGACTAATTGTGTATAACCTCTCTTTTTATTTAATTTTTTTTATTTTATTATTATAATTTTCACTCAAACCAAATGGCACAATAACCTCACTATTTTTTGCCATACTTTATGACCCAAACTTTAGCACAGCTCAACCCAATTTTTAATTTTTAAATTTTATTTTTAACCCGGCCCATAACCAGCTCTAACCTCGTTAAATTATGCGTTTATATACTTAACCCTTAAGGCTACTTATACCATTTATAAACTCCATTTTCAATTTTCAATTTTCAATTTGGGCAATGATCCCAAATGTTGACACATCAAAAAAAAAAACATTCCAAAAATACAAAAAAAATAAAAACCGGTAAAGCCTCTTTCTCTCTCCTCCCCACCTCTTCTTTCTCTCTCTAAACAAACCAAAATCAAAACCAAAAACACAAACAACAACATTCCCATTCATTCATAAATATCCTTTTTACTCAACCTCACGCTTTCTTCTTCCTTAAATTCCCTGCAATTAAAAAAACTAATAAAAATTCTCTCTCAAATGCAAAATTTCGTGTAATTTTTGGCGGTGAATTTCGTAATAAAATTTAAAAAAAAAATGGGGCAACAATCTTTGATCTATAGTTTTGTTGCGCGAGGCACGGTAATTTTGGCTGAATTTACCGAATTTACTGGGAATTTTACATCGGTTGCAACTCAATGCCTTCAGAAATTACCCTCTTCAAGCAGCAAATTTACCTACAATTGTGATGGTCATACTTTCAATTATCTCGTCGACAATGGATTCAGTATATTTCATCATCCTTTTTCTCAACCATTTTTTGTTTTCTGTCATTTTTTTTATCGTACCCTTTTGTGCCGACGATGATCAAATCAGACGTTGATAACATTGATTGACACGTGATTTTATTATGGGTTCGGGATTATTATTTTTAGGAAATGTATGTAATTGTTTTAGTTTGATTGACACGTGATTTTGTTATGGCTTATGGGTTCCTATTTGATTAATACGTGTGTCGTGGTGTCATGGTGATATCGTCTTATGAAATGTGTTTTAATTGTTTTAGTTTGATCGATACGTGATTTTGTTTTGTTATGGGTTCTGTATTTGATTAATACGTGGTGATGTCGTCTTAGGAAATGTATTTAATTGTTTTAGTTTGATTGACACGTGATTTTGTTATGGGTTACATACTTACGTGTTTGATTAATACGTGGTGATTTAGGTAATGAATTGTTTTAGTTTGCTTATAAGGGAATCGGACGAGATGATAACACTAGTTGACAACTGATTTTGTTATGAGTTTAGAAACTGATTTATACGTGGTGGTTACTTAGCTTATAGAGTTATAGGGCTACGTATAACGAAACCTGTTTTTATGTTGTTCATGTGGTATAGTTTTTGTTTGTTTGCTTACGATGAATGACGAATGTATCTGTCATTCTGTTGTTTAATGATGTAGATTTGATTTCTTCGTTGTAATTTTTTTAAAAAAATTCAAGTAGTTAGCTTGTTGTTTATGGTGTGTGTATTATTTTATTATGGTGTCAGTTATGAAAATAGTTACTATTGCTTACAAAATAGTTGTTTCATGATTGTGACCTTATGGCATCAATGAGACAATTTGAATAATGATAGTCAATTTAATTTATATGTCTTCTGTAATTGGATGATGGGTATTGTCAGATTGATTGCATTATTTATTTTGTGTGGTGATGGTGATATTTTATTTTGGTGGCTTACGAAAATTTGGATTTTTTTTTTTAATGGCCTTAAGTTTGTGTGAAACCAAGGAGAAGTATAATAATAGAGATATATAGCATAGGGTACTATTTTGTTTTTGACAGTTTGCTGGGTTTCTTGTTGCTTTAGTTGGAATTTTAATTCTGATATTTTGTAATGAAAATTGTATTGAGGACATTGACATGTGGCCGGATTGTATATATAATTTATTTTAACAATTGAAATTCTTGACATAAATTGAGAGCAGAGGCCATTTGTTTTAGGACAATAGGTTGACTTTGAGTTTCTGGTCTTAGCTGATTTGTTTATCGAGTTTGTGGTCTTAGCTATTACCCCGTATATATTGAGTTTTGATCACCAGTTTTCAAAATAAATATACAAAGAGTTATATGGAATTTTTTTGTTAACGTTTCATTTAAAGTTGTTCTTAAAAGAGTAGGAGAAAATTTTTAAACTCTATGTCCCTAAAAAAATACATTTCATTAAAGGGATGAAGGTGCTGTTACTATCTGCGCACTATTTGTGGTGCCCTGAATTAAGAGATAGGCTATGTTTGCTTCACCTGATATAAGTTAATTTTGTGTGTAATCTGTGAATTTGTTGTGTTTCTCCATGACTTGCAAAGTATAGGGATGAAGGTGTTGTTACAGAGATTCTTTTCCTTATCTCTCAACTTTATTTGTGTACTATTTTTGGTGCCCTGAAATAAGAGATAGACTATGTTCTCTTCAGCTGAGATTCCATAATATAAAGTGAGACAGCCAACAGCTAGGGTGTGTCAATTGGTATGGACTCTTGAATATTAGTAGATGGTAGGATCAGTGAGGAGCAGTTGTTTGTGGATATGAAATGTATCAAATGTCTTACTATTAAGAAAGATTCATGGATTCCCCTCACAAGAAAGGGGGAAAGTTATTGAAATAAAATCAGGTGGGTAGGTTCTAATTCTATTGAATACAGGAATTACACGCATATTTTGATTTGTGTCTTATATTTCGTGTCAACTGAATTGATATTGATCAACGCTATAAATAAGTAACATAAGTGAAGTTGGCTTAAGGTAAATCTGTAGGGGTACATTTCAGAACATGCTAATCCAAGTCTTGTGGCTTGCCATAGTGATGCTTGTTGGAGTTGGGAGTGGCTATCAAAATATATGGTTCAGTGCGTTCCAATTTATGGTGGTATAATAGCACTTAAATATCTATTTTTTATAGATTAATTATAGGTTTTTTCCCCTGAATATTCACTACCCTTTTGCTATTCCAAGTCTTGTAGCTAGCCACGGATGTTGATGCCGGTTGGAATTGGCAATGGCTTTTAAAATACGGTGGTGCAGTGCATTCCCAATTATGGTGGTAGAATAGCACTTAAATGTTCATGTTTTGCTTACCCCCTAAATCTTCTCTATGTTCTGGTGCCGTTGATCTTGAGTATTAGATTGGCAATCTGCCCTGTGATTTCTGTTATCCTGATTCCTGAAGTTTTGAAGTTTACATGGGGCCTAATTTTTTTTTTTTTTTTTTTTTTTTTTTTTTTTTTTTTTTGTGGGTAGGGGGGCTACTGTCCTTCAGACTGACATCTGATTCTTGTACAGATAATTTGCTTGATACGATAATTAGTTAGCTCATCTCTGCTTGACCTTTTGTTGGTTGCTTTCTGGTATGGCTACTGGTTAGTCTTTTGTTGACTTGCTATGTGCTTTATGTGGTGCAGCTTACTGTGTTGTTGCAGTTGAGTCTGCGGGTAGGCAGATTCCGATTGCTTTTCTCGAGAAAGTCAAGGATGAATTTTCGAAGAAATATGGTGGGGGTAAAGCTGCAACGGTTGCTGCCAAAGGCCTAAACAAAGAATTCGGGTAATTATTTTGGTTTTCTTGTTTTGAGAAATGTCCCTTAAGTTTTAGATGTGTTCTTTATTTTATGCCTTGTTTTTAGGCCTAAGTTGAAGGAGCAGATGCAGTACTGTGTGGATCACCCAGAAGAGATTAACAAGCTTGCGAAAGTGAAAGCCCAGGTGTCAGAAGTTAAAGGAGTAATGATGGAAAATATTGAGAAGGTATAGAGCATGTCATGGACCTCATGGTATTCTTTGATTACTGGTTACCATTGATGGTTGGTTTTGCTCGTCCCTTTGTGCTTTAGGGATGAAGCAATTAGTCATTTACGAGGTATTTGTATATGTTAAGAGGTATATATATCAAGGATATGATTGTTTAGGACATTCTGGTTTCAGGTTCTTGACAGAGGTGAAAAAATTGAGCTCTTGGTGGACAAAACAGAGAACCTTCGTTCTCAGGTCAGTATATTACATTATTACAGTACTTACATCGTTACATGATTATATCCTGACAGGTGATCTCATTTTGACATTGAATTCATTTAAATTAATACCTTGCCATTCAATTCTTTACATTGAAATCATTCATTTTCCATAACAGAAGATTGAACTTATTGATTCACAGGCAAATAGTGTATACTTGAATATAGTTTTATGGCTACTAATCTTTCCTTGATTTACTTACCTCTTTCAACAATTTTAGCTCAGTGTGTACGTATAAATGAAAACTCTTGTTTCCTCGTTTTCTTCATGTAAATTGTCAATTTTTATTTGCATAGGTGTTCACATAATTATGGATGTTACAATACCAATGATATGTATTTAAGGAGTTGCTATTTTGGGTGCAGGCACAAGATTTCAGGACTCAGGGTACAAAAATAAGGAGAAAGATGTGGTGGGAGAACATGAAGATAAAGCTGATAGTTTTAGCTATTGTTGTGGCATTGATTCTCATCGTGATCTTGTCCATTTGCGGTGGCTTCAAGTGCACCCATAAGTAAACCAGATCTATAGGCTTATATTCAAATCAGAGTTATCGTCATCTATATTGTATGATGGATTTTCAGACAGTTTTGTACAGTTGTGTACCGAAATCCTTTTGACAATAGTAGGATAATATCCAAACTTGGTCCTAGAGATGCTTTCTGCCTATGTTGGCTGATCTTAATTTGAAACTTAGATTGCTTTGTATTATCGTTGATATTTTGCATTAGAACATGATATACATAGAAATATAGACTGCGATCTATATTGACCTGTTTCCTTGCAGTATACAGTGCACAATCCCAAAACATGAAGTTATGAATTGATTATCTGAATATACTTTGAAGATATATTTAACTCTGTAATAATTGCATTACTTGATAGGAATTTACCACCAAATGTAATTGATAAGGCGATGAAAAGAAACTAAACAGAATGGTCCAAAATTTATGGCTACCCTGAAAATGAATTATCAGTAAGAGTTTAAGTACAAAAGCTCTTCATACATGTTACAAGATGAAATGGATCATGATACGATCCAAAGAAAAATCTTTGATTTCGCAAGCAGAACTTAAAAAATTTGCTCTTTAGGTGGTGATCTCCATTGTGGCAATCAACCTGGTCTTCCTAAAACAGGCAGCAACACAAATCACAACAAGGGAATGTTACAAGATGAAAAGAAAAATCTGGCAATTTCGCAAGCAGAACTTTTGTTCTTTAGGTGGTAATCTCCATATTGTCAATCAACCTGGTCTTCCCAAAACAGGCAGCAACACAAATCACAACAGGGGCCTTTATCTCTTCAACTACTTCTAAGGTCTCTTGATCCACTATCTGCTTCCAATAGAACCGAACAAATTGCATAATAGGAAATCAGATTTTCATTGTATAAAAGGCTTAAAAGCTATAAATACAGGTAAGCGTTAAATAAGTAATGCAGAAAACTGGTTTACCTCAGCATAGTCTACATTTCCACCGGCTTCCTCTATCGCAAAAATTATCGAATCCTGAAGGCTTTTGCAACTAATTTGCCCGTTTTCTGCAGCATGTTTGGCTTTTGACAGAGACCTATTAATAGACAATGCCTGAGCATGCAAGAATGGTAGGCATCACTAACAGAGATCAGTCAAAGAAGGAACATGTACATGAAGTAAATAACTGATAAACTACCTTTTGCCTTTCCTCGGGGGAAAGGTACACATTACGGGAACTCATTGCTAAACCATCATCTTCACGTGTAATCTCTGATCCAATTATTTGGACAGCAAAATCTAGATCTCGTACCTGTATCAATAAGTTGGTGATCAAGGGAGCTAATTTAGGAACCATCAGCAAACAATCATGTTACATATTCCACAAAAGACTTTTGACATAAAATCATGCTATTGGAAGATTTGGATCAATCATCATTTTTCTGAAACAGTATTCAAGGATGATTTGCTGCTCCTGAATTTTCAGACCTATCAAATCAAAAGGCCATTGGTCCATTATCAGATAATTAAAAAATATAAATCAAAGAAAAGAACAAGAGATTTTACACTGATAACATTTACTCTATAAAGACTAGAAAGTATGCAAGCAGCTCTGTATTGAGAAAGCAATTCATATTAGGATCCTGTTTGGCAACTGACAAGAGAAACAGCCTAAAAATCCAATAGATTTTGAATAAAGATCACCGCCAACTTGTCACTAACTTCTAAGAGACCAAATTAGTCTTCCTGAGATATTAGGGTAACAGATCGTCTGTGAAATAGGTCATCAGATTTACAGCTTCACCATTTGTAAATCATCCTAATGAAAATGATGATTATCACAGCAGCTTGGCATTTGGTTTTATGAGGGCTAGATAAGATATCCCTGATAACACACATAAGTACTAAATCAGATAGTTCACTCTATAACCATTAATATTTACTAAATAATGTCTCTAAGAAGTCTCCCACATAATATAAAGTGAGTCATTTGAGAGCAGTCACCCAAGTTTCTGTAGATGTCTATTTTTAAACAATAAACACTGCTGGATTCTTGGATTATGCCATCTTTATTATTTTTCATCCTAATAAATCAATATGAAGTGGTAACTTATAATCTATTAAGCACTCAAACCAAATAGAATATAAATTGTTTAAGGCATCAATACTAGAAGACAATCATCCATTCCCAAGCTAAGCTTAACACATTCAATCTCACCTGGTTAACTCAACTAAACTTTCATCACAGGAGCACAATTCTCAGGAAACAAATAATCAATCACTAGCATGACCATTCATCATCATCATCTACGACAGGCCATTATTAGGGAATAGGGAAAATCAACTCAGTAAAATATGCAATCATCAAGATTCCACCAGCTACACCACAAGTCGCCTGAAGTCAAAATATACACAGCCTCACCTGAGTAGAAAACGATTCACAGACAAAAACACATTGTAAAGCTAAACAAAATGAAATTGGCTCACCATTCTACAAATAAGTCGCCACTGTTGATAATCCTTCTTCCCAAAGATAGCAACATCTGGCTCCACAATATTGAATAATTTACTAACAACTGTAGCCACCCCTTTAAAAAAAACAGGTCTACTCTTCCCACACAAGCCCTTCTCCAATTTCTCGACCCTAATCCAAGTTTCATGCCCGGCTCCCCTTTCCTCCAAGCAAGACACCACCCCTACATTCTCACACTTTTCCGTACCTTTGCTATCCCTCACTCTACCATAATCATACAAGTCATAAGGATTGAAAACAACATCAACTCTCCCGGGAACAGACATTAGCTTCTGTATATCACCATGAAAGTCAGATGGGTAGGTGGAAAGATCCTCAGAGGTAGAGAATTGTCCTGGGTTTACATAGATGGAGACTACAATGAGGTCAGCATGTTGATGGGCTTCACTGACTAGAGAGAGATGTCCTTTGTGAAGGTAACCCATTGTAGGTACTAGCCCTATGGTTTTGCCTTGGGCTCTCATTGCTCTTGACCAGTTTCTCATTTTGTCTTTGCTTGTGATTATCTCTGGTTCACGAGCAGCCATTGTTAAGGAATAGTTGCAATCAAGGGAGGCCAGGGGTCTGAATTTTGAGGTCTTTGGCACAGTTTAATTAAAGGTTTTCAACGCTGCTGTAGAAAAGTAATATTCTTGAGTCTAGTGTCACTGTAGTATCAGATACTAATAGAATCAGGAAACTAATGTTCTTCTTCCTGTGAATTTAAAGAATAAAGGAAAAGGATAAGTAGAATATTTGTAAGTAAAAGAAGAAGAAAAAAAAACAAGCAATGCAATCTCTCACAAATTGTGAATTACATTCTCACATGGTCACATCCATTGCGTGATAAATACATAACTAATAAGACACCTATATTATCAGCAAAGATAATACAAACTTCGTTTTTGCAAAAGTAAATTTCAGAAGAAAGATGGGAGGTCAACCGACCTCTTTTCCAGGGTTACCCCACTTCTTCCACCTTTACTCCCCAATATTTCCCAGCTTATCACATCAAGACATGAATCTCATTTACCTCGAAAGAACAGACTGGCTACTGAGAGGGGCCAAAGACCAGAACCTAGCTAACAGTGAAGAGACGCCTCAAACTTCAAACTACATCTTACTGAAAAATTGACTAAATTGAGTAAGTTATAGACAATAGACAGATTATGTTGCAGCTATGGCAAGACAAAGGGGTGAAGGAGTGAAGCCTAATAGAAAGCAAAGCTAGTATTTCTCAAAATGCCAAACATAGAGGCAGAGTAAATTTTGCAATTTTAAGTAAAATGCTCATAGTCATTCTCAAAATTCAATCAAAACGAGAAAAGAGGAATCTCGGACAGCATTGAAGCCTGGGATGGAACATAAATAGACACAATATATAGAGTATCGATTTTTAACATGATGAGGTCACACTCTCACAGTTAACACTCCAGAGCACTAAGTTTTGACAAACCAGAGCACTAAGTTAAACAAGGGAGCAAACTAATTCAACTACATCTCAATACTAACCTCGAAAATAAGGAAGCTTACATGGATACTGATCATCTAAAGAGGATATCCGAAAGGCCTAAAACCAACACATTTGTAAATTTATTTCAAGTCATGTCATCATGCAACAATATTAATTATAGTTCAGTTGATACCATAGCAATCTGTTGAGCTGAGCAACTCCGTGAAAAAGTTGACAACCAAAATATTGTTCATATATCATATAAACATTGCCATTTGCACTCATATTACTCATATCATTATAACGTTTTCTTATCAAATAAATGTAATGCCAAGGCTTGATAATAACTCACAGTATAAGCAAAGTCATTGATGCAGCAAATAAAATTTTTGCACTTACCAAAATCACATAAATAATAAATAGACTAAACATAGCTAATTGAAGATAGCTAGAAAGCAACACAAAAGCTAATTAAATCATAAACATGATCACACAGATCCAACCACAAAATTAACAACGATCATCCCAGCTATTACTCGCCTTCTCATTTTTTATCCCAACTATCATCTCAACTATAACTCACCTTCTCAAATTGTCTAAGTTTTACCTTTTAAGGTTAACGTGTTGGACAAGTAATAAGGGCGAAGACACGTGTTAGCTTCAAATTGGTTTCGGACCCACCCGGTCGTTGACCCCACACTTGACACTCCTAACCAGGCAACCAGCTTAGCCAAGAGGGCCCAAGACCCAACACAACCATGCAAATTACTCCGTATCATTTGTCAATCAAATCCAACAATCCAACACTAACCAAATTACAAGCTCCATATAAATCCAAACACTAAACTAAAGAGTGTTTATTTTTGGTATTCATATCAATATCAAATGAAATCAAATAAAGTACTTCATCATCAACACAAATTCTATTAGCCCCAATTTTAGTCCACCGAAATCTTCAAATCGACAAACCCCCACTAAATTACAAGCCAAGACAAGAACAACAAAACCACCATTTCCGAAGAACTGAAATTGGGTAAGAACCAGATTATAAGAAGCAAATTTCAGCTAATTAGTTGATCAAATAAAGAAATTTAAGCCCAATAAGTTATAATTAAGTAAATGACTGAAATTCTAAGAATCAGAATTCAAGGAGAATCGATAATTCTAGTATGATGAACTCACCAAAGTTTGGAAATTTTGGTCAAAATCAAACTCCAAATCCGTTGGTTGTTTGAAAATCAGGCTCAATTTGAGATTCAAGCCAGTAAAAAGTTGGAATTTGTACCAGTTACAGAATGATTTCAATCAAAATCGGCAAAATTGGAAAGACAGGGAAAGGAGAAGCAGAGAGGAGTAAAATTACGGAGTTTTAAGGGTAAACTTGCATGTTATGACTTTTGAGAAAGACGGGTTGTAAATCTTGTAAATTTGCAATACCTCCATCTCAAATTAACGATTTGACCTAAAACGTGTAAATAATTTGAAATATATTTGTGATAAATCTTACGAGTTACAATTATTTTTTTAAAAAAATCATGTTATATGCACCACTCACCTATCCTCATATAAAAGTTAAATTTTAAAAATTTCTCTATAAAGATACCTAATTTTTGTATTTGATTACAATTAAACATTAGTTGGGATTAAATTAAGAATGACAATGGATGAGACTATTTTTTAGAATTTTTCCATGCTTATTTTTTTAACCAAAAATTAATTATTAGCCAATTAGAAACTTTCGATATTCTAAACCATAATTCACCTAAAAAGGGTTTGGTAAAAATAATGATGTACGTGATCATAAATTTACATTTAAGCCAATTAACTAGTCAATCAATGAGTGACCTCAGTGATTTATTAGTTTCCAACTATATGATGGAAGATTCAGTATTGCATTGCATCGAGCTTCATTTTTTATGTAAGCTTTACCTCTTTGGTGAACAACTCTCAAGGTACACCCAATTATATGCGAGATACAATTTCTATGTTTTTATAATATCTTTTTTTTTTTTTAAGGAATGCTTTGGAATCTCTTTAACATACAAGGAATGGTATCACATGAAAAACTTGTAAAAACCATTGAAAAAAGTTCAATTAAAGTGATTAGATAATCAAATGCATATTTAGGATTCTTTGTTTGTAACTTTAATTGTTGAATTTAAGCACTCAACCCAAACCTCACTCTTAATTCACCTATTTGATTTGCCAAGTTTATTTTTGGCTTACAAAATAATTATTCCAACCATTTTCCGGTTGGTTTAGGACATATTCTCTTCAACTTATTTCAAGTACTTATTACTTATTCCTTAATAAATTCAGATAAGATCAGGCCAGATCAGAAACATTCAGATGAGACCAGATTAGAACTTTTAATTATTATTTACTTATTACTAAATATCATTAATTACGTATTACAAAAAATTATGAAAATTACATATTTGAAAAGTTGATAATGAGACGAATATAACAAGATCCATTTTGATAATGTTTTTCTTTATAAATTAGTATTAAAATGCGGAAAATTTAGTCAAATTATTAAATTAGATCAGACCAGATCAGATAATAAAAATTCAATTCAGATCAGATAAGATCTTATTGTTTCAGGTGAAGAGAACAAGTCCTTAATTTTTGTCAATATAACTATGTCCAGAAGGAAAAATGTCTTTTATTCTTTTATTAGCTCACTTCGTGCTCCTCAAACATCATTGCTATTGACATAGTACAAACAACCTTAAGTATTTCAAACATACATTTCTATTTAACCCTATTAACACCATACTTTGCATTTTCTATATAAACATCTCTAAACACAAAATTCAAAAAAGGAGATAACAAATGTATGTATCTAGCAAGCTAATTGATCTTTGAAGTTGGAAATTTCTTCAAATATAGGAAGTCTTCTAGGTTTTATTGGGCTCCATTTTGATTCAAATTCCTCAAGCCCATGGACAAACTCATCCTCCAAATGAAGGCTCACAATGCTAGACAACAAAGAAGGCGGTTGCCGTGACTCCAAATCCAACAACAGTTCCTCGGCCCGGTTCCTTGATCGGATATCCTCCGAGCCCGGAACCTTGGCCTGCAATACTTCCTCAAGCACAAAACGGGCCTCATCATATCGGGCTTGCTTTATAAGACAAAAGCCCAAGTTGCAGGCCTTATTTGCATCAGGGTCAATCATTTGGGCCTTTCTATAGACCACTTCTGCTGCCATATAGTTAGTCTTCTGCATGTAGGCCCAGCCCAAGTTCCCCTGTGGTACCAAAGGAGTGTTGAGGAAATTTGTTAAATGTGATTTTATTTTGCTATAAAAGTACACAAAATTTTTTGCTATGAAATTGTAGCGTAATAGTGGTGTTGACTGTTGAAGTGTGGAGTGCTCTCTCTATGTCAAATTAAGTTTCCTAATAAAAAAACAAGTAATACTAATTTGAGTCTCAAAAGAAATGTTTAGGGCAAATGAACGGAGTATAAAAAAAATTAATGGTAAGAGTTTGTTCTTATTATATACTTTAGACTATCAAAACAATACGCTCAAATGGTCGATCTTGTTGTACATTCTAATGCTTGTAATGATAGAAATTATGTTGTGACAATCGGATTACATACAAACATATGAATTAATTGCACATTTACACTAACAAATTAATTTTCAAATGACAGATTTTCAATGTACTAATAATTAGTTACTTTGTTGGAACGATTCAAATAGTGGTGATAAATAGACAAAATACTACAAATAATTCATTAGACTTTTAAACAAGAGGATAAAATTCATACCAGTATTCTAGAGGTTTCTTGTTTGATTGAAACTTGAAATTTCTTGCCATGAGATCTTGCTGTCTTTGTTGGTTTTCCGTTGAATGCTTCACCTTGGTATATCATCCTCAGTTTCTGTCTTAGGAGCTCAATTTGCTCATCTACTTTCCCACATTTCTGCTCAAACACAACAACAACCAACTAGAAGGTCTTAGCACACAATGTTGAAACAAAAAAAAATTCAAACAAAGAAAAAGTCATCAAAACCTAGCCTTTCATTTTCGATGCAACTTTGTATGTTAGTCATCATTTTTTTTTTGTAAGTGTTTGAATTGATTTGCGCTTATTTAGAAATGTCATTAATTAAGCAAATTCTTCGAACAAACAAAGAGTCTCAACACAAGAATCAATAACATTACTACTAATTACATACCTGCAAAAACCATACACACAACTATACAAGCATAAAATTGATTGATTAGAAAAATGTATGTTACAAGAAGTGAAGAGTTACGGGTACCTTATACAAATCGATGAGAACGTTGTCGAGGGATTCTTGAGCATTCCTAGAGCAAAGGCCTCTGAAAGACTTAATAGCTTCAATGGCCTCTTCAGTTCTATCAAGTTGCTTCATAACCACAGCCATATCTTTGAGTGCACTATCCACTCTATCCCCTGCATTTATAGCCTTCCAAAATAGTACTATTGCTGCTTCTGGGTCCTTTTGCACCAGCTGATCATACCCAAATAAGATAAATAAATACACCAACTTAATTATATACTTCCTCTGTTCCACAAATATTGCAACAAGGATGAAATTACGCATTCCAAAGCACATTTTATATGTTAAATATCCATAATTATATAAGAGTAAAAATTATAAAAAGTTGATATTGTGAAAGTATTTTACGAGACGAATCTAACAAGACCCCATATGACTATATTTTACTTTACGTATAAATCATAATATGTGGTCAAACAAGCAAGATGAATAGTGTAAAAGTCTAGTTGTTGTAATATTACTAGAACGGAAATATATATATATATATATTGCTGAAATTTGAGTAAAATACTTTGTATATTTCTCATGCAACATGTAGAATTACATACTTAATGACAAAGCTACATTAATGAGGAATTTCTCTTGTGATAAGGGTTTCCTAATATCTCATTTTCTTTATTTTTATTAGAATAAAAATAAATATACTTAATCACAAAGCTACATGTGTATAGTTTAAAAATTAGAGAATATTTAATAGTATATTGGGATAAATTTTTTTTTTTTTTTTTGTAATCTTGAAGATTTAATTAATTTTCAAAATCAAAATTCATTTGAGATTGGGATTGATAGATAAGATGAGTAGATCAAATAAATCAACAATGACCTATTATTTCTCAATTGTCTAACCCCCATAAACAAATAAAAACAATCCTAGAGCTTTCTTTGTTATATTTTTAAATTATCGATTAAGAGAGGCTTAAAATGGTATGATTAAGTTTATTTTCAAGTTCGCCATCTTTATGGCTCGATAAGGAGTTATATAAGGGCCTATAATGTAGACGGAATTATTCTTTGAAAAACTATACAAGCACCAAAATTTTACCAACTAGACATCTACATTTGACTATTTAAAGTTGGTCACTTGAAACAACCAAACATCTAATACAATTAATCATAAAATTTAACAATATTTAATAATTTGATAGATCTAAATGTTCAACCACTAATAAGTGCGCAAAATAATTACTACTAGTATAAATCACAAGCTAGATGAACTCATGAACTAAGCCAGGACTTAAATAAAATAATTTTTTTAAAAAAATAAAATAAAAAAAAAAACTTTGATGATACAATGCATATTAATTAGGTTTCACCATTAATCATAAAATTAAATTATGTGTAACGGATCATCAAATTCAGGTTTCAAAACAGGTATATCCAAAATGTTTACAATTATGTAACAACTAATTAATAACAACAAATAAGAAGAAAAAAGAAGTTACTAAACGAAAAAGTGAATGTCAACTACAGAGTAACTTAGTTACCTCGAACGAGTAATACATAATACTCCACATGAGATTAAATTTCGTCTACATTATTATCCCTCTACACGGACTACGCGCATCAAAGAAAAATAGACGGGAATAAAGTATATTTACATTTACATTTAACAAAAAAAAAAAAAAAAAAGAAGTTACCTGAGCATGTTTGGCACGAACATAAGGGCCATCACCAGAAGGAACTTTGTAAAGAGCATGAAGCGAGTCTTTCTCTCCTGAACTGCTACTCTTTTTCTCCATTTTTATTAATAGATAATAATACTCCTAAAATAAGATTAATTATAATTTTTAATTTTTTTTAATATTCTTTGACTGTTTTCTTTGTGCTAAATTTGTGTAATGGAATGTTTGGGGAAAACAGGAGAAAGAGGATGGTGGGAAAAATGAGATATGGGGTGATATAGAGGAGAGAGAAAATGGTGAGAAAGAAAAAGAAGTGGACACTTTTATAAATGCGAAAGGTTGAAATGAATTTAGACGGAAATTGCAACTATATTCATGATTTTATTTGTTGGATTGTGATTGTAGTAGGCTAGTAGGAGTTTATGAATGATACAGTTTGGTATTTTCTATAAGCTTTGATTATTATAATCAACAAGGTGAGTCAACTCCCTCTCTTCTAAAACGGGTTTGCTGCGTCGTCGTGCGGATTTTTTTTTTTTAATTCTCGAACTAGAATGTATCTATTACAGGTGACAAAATCAAACCGATTCGAAAAAAATTATCCGTTTCGAACTGTAATCGATCCAATTTGACCCGAGAAATTCAGGTTCCAAATCCGATCTGTAACTGACCCGAACTTAATCCGAATCCGAATTTAACCCGATCTGAACTTGACCCGACACCAATTTGACTCGATTTGAACTCAACGCGAACCGAATATGACCCAACTTGAACTCAAACCGAACCGATTTGACCCGACTTGAACTCAACCCGATCCGAAAATGACCCGACAAATAACCGATTTAATCCGATCTGTATTTAACCCGAACTGATATTAACCCGACCCGATTTTAAACCGATCCGATTTTAACCTGATCCGATGTTAACCCGACCATAGTTTTAAACCTAACCTTTTATTGACCTTTTTTTTTCAAGTTCTTATACTACTATATATTTACAAATATACTAATTATGATAACTTAGAAAGTCTAAAACTCTAACAAATATCTTATACAAATTGAATTAGTAATAAAGCAAACTAATAGTATTCATAGCATCATGAGATAAACAATTGAAGAGTAGTACCTTAAAAAGAGGACATTCTTTGTTTGTATATCACCATATGTGACTATCATCTATCAATCTATCAGTCTATCACTAGTTCATTACTATTTGTCTCACTTATGTACGTAGGTATAATAAGTTATCGATAATTATTCAATTTGAATCTGGCTCCAAGATAAATATTACATAAGAATTGATTGATTGAGAAAACTAATTCTTCGCATTTCGTAATAATTAACCACGCAATATGAGAAATGACATATGAATGACTTGATATCGACCCAATAATAAGGTAAAAATTCAATAATTACTCTAGTTTAAAAATGACCTTATTTGGATATTGAATTTGGTCAACTCGATCAAAATCTAGACAAACACGGAAATGATTTGAATCGGAATTGGCCAAATAGTGAATCAACCTTATCTTAATCAAACCGAACTTGACCGAACCGAAATCATCCGAACCGAAATCAACCCGACCCAAATTCATCCGACTCGAAATTAACACGATCAAATATGTTTTGAACCCGATTTGAATTTATCCGAACTGAACATGATCCGATTTGGAGTTGACCCGACCCATATCCGACCTGGACTTGATAGACCATGACCCGAAATTGACCCGAACCGATTTAAGGTCGAAATTGCTCTGTCCTTATCTGATGTGGGACTGAATCTTATGGAGTTATTTTTTGGATCTAAATAGATTCGACCTAAATTCAAATCACTTCCTATTATTATTTGATTATCAACCCGTTATTATGGTTTAGATGACACACATTTCATCGATTTAGTTTTATTTTTATAGTTTGCTTACAATAGAACTTAGAGAAGTGTAGATAAATTGTTGATTACAATTCAAATTTACATATACTTTATACCAAATATTACAGTTTAAATATGCAATTTTACGATACTCACAGTAACTTAGAGAAGATGGTAGTTATTGATTTTCAAAGGTTACACACCACACTATGCTTAGAAATTAGATAGAAACAGTTGACAGTTGGCATTATGCCATTATTTTAGACACACTTGATGTTTAGGTAAGGAGGAGTATTGAATTGGACAAATCAAACTTGTTTACTTTCACTAGTGTGAATTATTCCCGAACAGGGCAACAATTAGCAGAATGTTTAATGTACAATCAAATGTCACCCCATTTCTCAACAAAAGTCACCCCGTTACTTATACAAACGAACCACACAAGAATTACTCGCCGTCAATTCTAAAAGGGCATCTGTTTGGCATGCATTCGACATTTTATGTGTAGCTTCAGCAGTCAGTCAGTCACGGTATGTCATAACTCATAAGCTTACATAAGACCAAGACATTATCGAGTATGTACTGAATCTGGACACGATTATTGAACAGATTGCTTGAGCTTTCACGGAAAGTATATACAAAGTGAGCAAATTGTCATGAATGTAAAATCTAGACTGAAGGCAGTCCACATTCATGAAGATTAAATAACTCCATAAGATTCAGTCCCACATCAGATAAGGACAGAGCAAACGGTTATTGCACCATATGATAATCCATTTAGACATATAAATCATAGTGCAGGAAAAAAATTCAGACACAGAAAACAGAAAGTAATTGAAGAAAATGAAAGATAGATAACCTGGACAAAAAAATTGCATTTTCTATAACACTACAGATTGAGGTCTGAATGAATTACAGAGACGAGAACTATTTCGGATACTTGCCTTTGGCTAAAAGATTAAATACCAGCAAACAGAAAACCAAGCCTTCTATAATTCATACATCATAGCGTTGCAAAAAGATCGACAAAACCTTATGCCAGTACCCAAGACAACACTAAAACCAATACTATCACTGCATCAAAGGCAAGTTTTTTTTTTCTTCATTCCATTCTGAACATAGTAAAGCACATTCAAGCCAAGGCAAGTAATTCACAATAATGGGAAAAGTAGGAAGACACACTTTTAAGCTTGATCACCATCTGCACCACTTTGAGAACGGCCTCCCATACGACCACGACCACGGCCCCCACGACCATAGCCTTGGCCACCACCTCGACCACCTTGAAACCTACCACCTCGGTCACTTTGATAGCCACCACCTCGACCACCTTGATACCCTCCGCCTCTACCACCTTGATACCCACCACTTCGATCACCTTGATAGCCACCACCTTGATCTCCTTGATACCCACCACCCCGACCACCTTGATACCCACCACCTCTACCACCTTGATACCCCCCGCCTCGGCCACCTCGATAACCACTATCTCGATCTCCATAATACCTACTGTTTCGGCCTCCTTGAAACCCCCCATCTCGGCCTCCTGGCCCTCCATGATACCCACCGTCCCGACCTCCTTGATACCCACCATCTTGGCCTGCTTGATATCCACTGTCATGACTTACTTGATAACCACCATCTGTCACAATTTTTAAATACCATTGAGAATAGCATAGATGAGCATGCACTATGCAGCCACATGAATCAAATCCTCAAAAATCTCTATCAAACAACTAGCAATTCCATTTGCGTCAGTTATGTAGTACGCAAAGGATTCATATTGCTATAACACCCTTAAAGTCCATGGCTTCATAATAATTGCAGGTGCACGCAACATAGATTTTTGCACAGCCAATACTTTGCTCAATTTACATTTTAAAATACTAATTTTCCAGCAAATGTACATATATGAAGATGGGATTTCCTTCACCAAATCAGCATTTAAGCACTCTAACAATCCCAGAACTATATGAGTTTAGGGAACTAGTAAAAAATATTCTGCAGAAAACGTACATATGCGGAGATGGGAAATTTTCTTTACCAAATCAGCATTAGTATTACAGCCCACTCTCAATCCCCAAACAATAGAGGGGGTTTGGGGAATTGGTTAAAATATAAATATTTGCTTTTTTTTTTTTTTTTTTTTAAATGCCATTGTTGGACAGGAAATTTTGGGATGCCAAGATGGTCAATCTGATTCAAGGACACTCAAACAAATTATACTCACCATAATATCTTCCCCAGCCTCTACCTCGTCCACCTCCTCTGCCCCAGTTTGAGTACCCTCCATTATCTGCTTACAATCAATAAAGTAGATTTAATCAAAACTGGAGTAAAAGGAAACAATAAGAGTGTAACGCTTAAAGAATAGTACTAGTTTGAAGTTCACACCCTGGTATGATCCATAGCCACCCCTTCCCCAGTTCTGTCCTCGGCCTCTCCCTCTCCCTCTACCACGTCCACGACCTCGGCCATATGATTCTATCCAAAAGGCCAAGAGAGTATCAGACAAACAGTGATTGAATGAAGTATACTCATACAGTGGGGAGAACAATTAGCCAATTACCACCACGTTCTTGTCTAGGTTGAAGTTGCTGTTGCTGATAATAGTTTTGTTGTTTGGGCTGCTCAAACTGGGATGGAGCTTGATACCTTCAAAACATAATATAATAAGAGCCATTAAGAGCAGAGTTGATGTAAAACCATATCAGGCAGGAAGCAAAAAATTCTTTTTTTGTCCAAACTTGAATTTAACGCATAAGAAAACAACTATAATTCAATTGCAGCACCATAGCTCAATATAGGCAAAAATAATATAGTGCATAATGCTGGTTTATCAATCTAACTTAAAAATGAAAAAAACTCAGACAGCACTGATCCTGTTAAACATGATGTACTGTACAACTAAACTGACCAATATGATTGAAGCTTACACTTAACTAGATGTACACTCAAGACTCAACTACATATAAATTGATCAGAATAGTAAAAATTTTATAGTAACGACATGCAACCAGCTCTGGAGAAGGGGGGATAAGCTGAATACAACTAAATAGTAATCATCACAAGAAATCCACATGACTGCTTGATAGTCCCCTATCCTAGGGATTCCCAATCAAAAAGTCATCCTCGAGTAGACAAAATATCAGATTCCAGAAGTTCAACACACAAATAAGTACAGGCAAGGAGGTTTCATGGGACGAAGCTTCAATAATAAATTAACAGGCAACAAAAATAGTACCCTGGAGAGTTTTTATTTAGCTCGTTAGTTGACAGGGTAATAGAGATCATTGATACTTGACGCTCTGTTTCCACTCTGCAGAGATCCAAAAGCAATGGTAAACGCAGCAATACATCAAAAATATTAATGCGCACATGATCTGCAGTAAAACTTACGGTATTAGACCCTCTTCAATGGGTTCCCAGAAATCTGTAATGCTAACTGAACTGATAACAATGTCTTGATGCAAGTGGGGAATTCTCTTCTGCAATAGCAAACAACTTAGTACAGCTTAGTACAACTATTATAAAAACAGTGATCACCTTAAATTGTCAAAGAGAAGCTTAGAAGGGAATGACAGTCAAAGAATAGCTTAGAAGAGAATGACTAACCTTTATAATCTCTGAAATAGCAACAGTTTTGCTAATAGCCTGCCCCATAGCTTTCAAAACAATTTCTTTGGCATACTTCTCCTGCAGAGTTTTCATAAGGGTTAATATGATATGGGCAAAGGCACTGGCACTATCGTAATAATAATAATATTCAACCTTCATATTGAAGTTATGAACTTTACAAAACACCTTATAAGGTGAGCAATCACATCACAAATTTAAAAGCTGCAAGCGTAGATCTAAACACCAGCAACAGATCATCACAAGAAAGAGCAACAACAAAGAAAAAGTAAAATACAAGAGGTGTATAACATTGATATCAAATGGTAATATGAACACTCCAGCAATTTACAACCTAACAAAAAAGTGCTCTATGCAGCATCATGAAGGGGGTAAATTTGATCATGTTACACGGTTCAAAGCAAAAAGCACATTCAAAGCAACCACATTCAAAGCAAAAAGCACAGTTCTGAAATATCTGAAGTATACTTCATTCATATAACCACCCCTCCCCCCCCACCTCCCACCAAAAAAAAAAAAAAAAAAACATTTTTATACAAGTGCAGAGGAAATTCAGTTTCCTTCCATAGTTCCTTGACGAAAAAATGTCGACAACAATGTAATTACTGAATCAACTTTACAATAAACCAAACTTTCTTCCTGGTAAGAGGTCAGAACCATGATTTATGGTAGTCATAACTCTGTAATCAAGCCCATATCATACATCTAGGCAATATCTCCGAATATTAGTCAGAGTCATGTTGACCCCACAAGTTCTTTTTACACATGGCACATTAGTTTGAGAGAGCACAAACTGCTAAATGTAGTGATTCACGGGTCTACCCTAAAATAGATTCTTTCATTAAGAAAGACTTGAAAGTCCTAGGAGCAAGATTCTAATCAATTCACATTTCAAGTCACTCACACCAATCCTCATCCTTCGATTGCGAGCACAAACCTCTGACAACATAATGACGGCATTGAGACATTTATTTGGAACCGAAATCACACTCAATAATCACCTGAATATTGTTGTACTCTCAATACATCAAAACATAATAATTCCATACAAATTACAAAACCTCGGCATTGTCTAATCAATACATATTCACCTCATTCTCACTAATACTCATCCTACAATCGCGAACACGAACCTCAATTAATTGAAACCGAAAACACACTCAATAATCACCTGAAAATCGTTGCACTCTCAATACATCAAAACATAATAACTCCATACAAATTACAAAACCTCGGCAATGTCTAATCAATACATATTCAGCTCACTCTCACTAATACTCATCCTATAATCACGAACATAAACCTCAATTAATCGAAACCGAAATCACACTCAATAATCACCTGAAAATCGTTGTAATCTCACTACATTCATAACTATCCATTTCACTCATCATCCAAAAACGCATAAAACAACAAAAATACAACACAATTCCTCAACAAAAATTACAAAAACCTCAGCATTGTCCAAATAGCGAGAATTACATCATCACAACAATATAAACGCTTAAAAAATCGGTGAATATCAACAAAAATCGGTCAAAAATAGCAAAAAAATCAGCAATTAAAACTGAAACAACGACAAAAACGACGAATCAATCAAAAAAAAAAAAAAGTTGACCTGAAGAAGAGTAGTGGCATAGCTGATGTAATTGCGAATGAGACCTTGAGTAGTGATGCGAATTTCGTTCTCGTTAATCGGAATTTCAGGCTTAGGTTTCTCGACTCTAGCGTATTTGTCCATTGTTGATGACGATTGAGGAGAGAGAAAGTGCGATTTGGAGGAGAGAGAAAGATGAACTCAACCAACCCTAAAACCCTTGAGGAGAGAGATTATGAACCCTAAAACCTCCAATCTCAAGTCGAAGCCCAATGGTCAGTTTTATTTTACTTTAATTTAATGTTTTCTTAAAAAAATTAATTATCCTAAATTTTTAAAACTTTTTTTGGCATTTTTTAATTTGTGTATTTATTTAGGTAGATTTATTATTATCGTCATTTTACAGATAAAGGAAAAGGGAATTTATCAAGTACATTGTGGTACAGATTACGAAGAGACTGAGGGAGAAATGTGGGGTTTGGATTTAGTTATGATATACGTGTACGGCTTAGATTGGTCGACTGATGCAAAGTAGATTGGGCCTAAACTATTGGTTTTTAGCTTGGACTTTGGATACTGAGGATAGGTTTCAAGTTTCAACTCTTTCAAGATTATTAAAGATGGTATTCGATAATTTTTTTTGTGTCTATCTAAACATCTTATAGCAGATTAGATAGTAAATGTAGGTCATTTAGTGACAGATTTTATGTTAATTAATGATTGTACTTGCTCTAATTTAGCTTCTATACTTCAAACTGACACATAAAAAAAAAATTTAAAAAAAAAGTATAGTATATGATATAATCAAAACTAATTTTTTTTTTAATGTGTTTGTTGTGTCTTATGAGGATATAATACAAGTTATACAACCAATTGTAGGGTGAAGACCCTTCTTGGTCATGTATTAGTGTAAGTGTTAAGAGATTTGATAGGTCTAATCAATCAATCAATAACTATATACTAAAAGACACACCAGCAATGATACGTGTCGATTTCTAGTGTGTTCTTAGTATATATTTTTTTAGTAATTAATTACTAAATTTTATTTAAGGAAGTTATTTTTAAAAAAAAGTTTGTTTTTTTTGTCAACTATATAGATGAGCAATAATATTTACCATTTTTATGTTGATACTCAATTAATTACGCTTGGCGTGATAATAAGGAAATATATAATCTTTTTCTTGAAGATTTATTTTTGGTGGAATACTTTTTAAGAATATGATCTTGATCAAATATTCCATGTTACTTCAATTTTGTTCAAGATATTAAACAATTTTTATATTTTATGCTATAAATAAATTAATTTGTCAAAAGTAATTAAAATAACGTATCGTGCATGACACGGGATCTAACCTAGTCCACAATTAAAGTCTAGTGGTTAACTATCCATTTGCAAGTCAAGTAATCTTGTAATGCACTCATGCATGCCTTAAGCGTTTCCATTCAAGATTTTAATTATTTGGAAACGCTTGGCGTGATACCGAATTCACCGTGAATCCAATATGTCTGACAATAATATTCTAATATCTGACAATAATATTCTAATATATGACATTAATATCCTAACATCTGAAAATAATATTCTAATGTATGACAATAATAATCTGATATTTGACATTAATAATTTAATGTTCTAATATAATATGACAATAATATTCTAATATATGACAATAGTAATATAATATCTAACATTAATATTTTTGGGGCTTCTTCATTTATAATCCAATACTCTCCACTTCCCCACACTCCCCTCTCATTTTCTCTCTCCTCAACCACCCTTGTCAAAGTCAGACCACCACTACCTCCTCCTCTCTTCCTCTAATGGCGGCAACAAAAGCAAAAGACAACCTCAATTGTTTTTCATTGATGCAGGTGGCCTGGCACTGGCAATTCATTAGGTAAATGTCAATGAAATGCATCGACAGCAGTTGCAACACCATCTTCATTATCTATTAACCAAGCTATTTCCATTGCTCGACATTTGACCTAATGAGAGGAAGGAGAGTGTAAATAAAGGTTACTACAATGCAATGGCGATTTCTTCTCCTCTGTCGCTCCACAATCGCTGGCCACTCTCACGATTTCTTCTCCTCCGTCGCTCCATAATTGCCGGCCACTCTCATGATTTCTTCTCCTCCGTCGCTCCACAATCGCCGGCCACCGTCTTCTTTTCCGAACTTCCGACTGCCATCTCCGATCCCACTTTGAGTAATTATGTCTTTGCTTCTTCTGTTGGTGTTGAATCTATATTTGTATAGGCGGACTCATAGTGAGTCCATTCTATACAAATTTTTTCCTAATTATCTTGTTGCCCATGTCATGTTGGATACTATAACCAATATAATAGTACTAGCAAGGCATGACCAATGACCACACATAATAACATGTCGTGTTGTGTTTTTCACGTTTTGAAATTTCTACCCCCATGTCGTGCCTTGAGTCAACTTAGGGGGCGTTTGGTTCCGAAAATGGAAAAGGAGTGGAAAGGAAGCAAATAAGAGGGGGGAAATGAATCATTTAGCTATTACCTTTTCATTTGTTTGGTTTAACCATGGAAAGGGTATTTGTTAAAGGAGGATATGGTATTTGTTACCCCAAGTTTTTGAGAGGTAACAAATGAGGGTAATCATTACCCTTAGGTAATAGTAATTGTTACCATGCCTTCAAACCAAATACACGGTAACGGTATCGGTTTAATCGAATCCGTTTCCAATCCAAAAAATACACTAACCAAACGTCCCCTTAGTATCATCTTTAAATGATCAAACTTATTTTGAAAGTACGGAGTAGAATACTAGAAAAGGGTCAAGGATCAAGGGGTGGGTCTATTTTTGTCAATTCACACTAGGGTATTAGATTAGTAACATCTTCCCAAAGCTGCACAAATTGAATGGGCAAAAACTTCTGCCCAACATTCCAAAAAAAGGTTCAAATTTTTGACTTTTACCTATTTGATCATAGTAAAACTTTTTTTTTTGGGATAAGACTCAAGAGATCCCTATAAAACTTTATAAAAATCCAAAATTAAGTTGGATTAAAAAACATGGTTTAATATGATCACGCACGAAAAATTAAAAATAAAGATAAATTTTAAAGGATACCAGAACAACTTATTAATCGATGTTAATTACTCTTCGAAGGAAAGACCTTTTTTTAGTTGGGAATTTTCCCTTTTCAACAATACCCTTCATTAGAAATACAAATTTATTAGAAATATATATATATATATATATATATATATATATATATATATATATATATATATATATATATATATATATATATATATATATATATCAGTTATTGATTATACAAGGATAATTTAATGGGAAATTATCTCTGGTAACCATGTACTTTGGTTCTTTCTCTTTGGTAAAATGTAAAAATTTGGATTATCATTGGTAATCATCAATTAGTAATACTAAGCAACTAATGACATTAAAACTAAATTATAAACTAACCATGGTTTTTTAATAATAAAATTATATAAATACCCTTATAAAAATCAATTCCCTCCAAAAAAAAAATCATTTATCTTCAAAAATTTGCTTAAACCAACTATAACGCGTCATACAATTAGAGTACCAGTACTTGATTTCACACCCCTAACTTAATAAAATAGAGAGTGTTTAAATTAGAATGTCACATCTACATAGTTTGAATGACTTGATTAATCTCTTTTTGTTGTTCAAACTGAATGATTTCGTTTTTATAATTTTTGAATTGTTCTAAAGTATTATTAGTTGAATTCTCAATGGTAGCCCTGAACTTTTGGCAATTCTCAATGGCATCCAGATTTTTAAAAAATTCTCAATGGTAGCACTAAACTTTTTAAAAAGTTGCTTCCGTAGCCTATTTACTTTGAAACCGTTAACTTTCCGTTAACTTTGAACTATGGTTAAATATTTTGACGTTGGTCAGCATTTAAGACTTTAACCCACCCACCCAACTGCATTTAAACCATTGTGCATTCATCTTCTTCGCATTACTCTGTTTCACACTTTGAAGGAAGATCGAAGAACACAATTGTGAGAGGGGATTTGAAGGTCGAAGAGAAGTTTGCGTGTAAAGGCTTGATTTTGTGTGTTGCTGCATCAAGGTAGGTGTTAATTATTCAGTTATAGTTTAGGATTTAATCTGTGAAATGCTCGACGTTATGTAATTGAATGACTGACGAAAATTATGGGTTTTTTTTGTTAAATTATGCATGTTAGTCGTTATATGTTGTTAATTTTGGCGTTAAATTGTTGATTTTTGTTATATTATATGTATTGCGGGAGTTAGGGTTTTGTTTTGTTCGTTATATGTATTGTGAATTTACAGTTGATCTTCATCAACATTTTATATTGATATTTTCATATGTAATTACTGCAGAATGGACTGCCCAATCACCCTAAAGTTTTAATACAAGAGTATTGATGTTGACATTGTAGTAGATGACATTGATAAGGTTATGATTATAGACCTTATCATAGATTATTGGGAATTTTGTGAGTTAAATTCCATCCCCACACCAAGATACCCTAGGTTTGAATATGTGTGGAAGATGAAACAATATGAGTTAAGGATAGACAATGATTTGATGGTAATGTTTGATAGGCTGTAGGGTAGAACTGTGATACATATTTGAGTAGATGATGGTGAGGGTGAAACTGATATTGCACAAGTTGCATCTTTGTTAAGAGCTGGTAGAGCTGAGAAAGAGAAAGTTGAAAAATGGAGGGAAGAAGCTAGGAAGGAATTAGAACAATCTGACCCACAACCTGACAACCCACCTCTTTCAGAACAAACAACTGAATTAGTGATTTATGTGCTTGGTGGGGATAAGCAACAGCTAACCAAGTTAGTTCCTAAGAGAAGTAAGAAGACAGAGGGGGTACATGGGGGAGGAGGGAGAGGAAAGGGGTGTGAAGAAGCTTCAAGTAGAGGGGGCAGAGGGGGGAGGGGTAGAGGGGGAAGAGGTAGAGGTAAAAAAAAAAACAGGGTTTTCATTTGAGGAATGGTTTAGTTCATCCAACCCTTTGCCTGATGATAGGCCGTCGTCGAGCCTACCAAAATATATAATTCCTATCTTGGTCTCACTAACTAATAGCAAGGGTAAGACAGGGTCGAACCCAAGAGAGGCGTTGAATCAACCACCGAGTACTACCGTTTAAATAAGCTAAATGAATTCTAAATTGGGTTGGTTTTGAGTAACTTCTTCTAATTCAATTCAACTAAAGCTAAGAGGAGATTAACAATATTGAGAGGAATCTAGGGCTTGGGTTATACCACTCAACTTCATCACAAATCAT